AAGAGAATAGAAAGGAAGAGAGAGGCCATGATACAAGAAGAACATGATACCTTTATAATAAGTTTGTAGCTGATATAATTAATAACATTAACCTCACATCATAACAATGGCACGTTAAAAGTTCTCTCTCTCTCTCTCTCTCTCTCTCTCTCTCTTTCTCTCTCTCTCAAAACTCTCTATGTGTTGCTGCAAAAATCCAACCTAGATTGAAGTTTCAGTTACCGCCCCTTGCTTTTGCTCGGGGTAGGCAACATCCCTCTGCTTCATCTCTTTTTTCCTCCTCCTTCCCTCTTCTCTCTTTTGCCATTTCCCTATTTTCCTCCTCTCTTATCTCTTTTGTCACTTCCCCTCACAACATCCCACCCCCTCTTCCTTCCCCCATTTCCAATCTTCTTCCTTCTTTTTTTCGGTTATCCTCTGAGTTTTATTTTAGTTTTCCTCGAGTTTGGTCTCAATTACCCCTTAGCCTCACTTTCTATCCAAAAGGTACTTTGTATATATTTGCAGGGGTTTATGATGGGGGACTTGAATCCGGTGTCCATTTTCTCAGTTCAGAGTTTGGCTTTCTCTGAGGATGTGACGGTGGTGGTAATTTGGTTATGCTGCTTAAGATTAGGATTGTTTTGTTGTTTGGTTTTGCAGCCTTCAGGTTTAAGCTTGTGTGGGCCTCCCGTTATATCTTAGGTTGCTACTCTCCTTTTGCTTGGGCATTTTACTTATCCATTGTTATTTCACTGGCTCTTTCTGGGCCTTGTACTAATTTTTTACGAAAGTAATCTTGTTTGAACACACCTCACATGATAGGTCTATATTCGATTTCCCCTCCTCCTACAGTCTACCTAACGCCCTGAATGGTTCCATACTTGAGATAATTAATTAGATAGTGACATTGAAGTGGGGTTTTTTTTTTTTTTTTGGAACGAAATATGTCATTGATAAAAAGCAATAGATAAATAAGATAAGGGCCCCTAATAAAATTCGGTAACCCAGCAACAAGTAAAGACCCCCAAGGAGGCAGTCAACCTAAAGGTGGATAAAGTGGACCACAAGCGCAACTCGGGTCACCACCCGAAGGCAAGAAGCCAAAAAGGGCGTTAGTGGGGGCACGGAAGGCCATCAATGGACAAGATATGGACCATAGCAGATGAGGGCTTGGTAAACTAGAATTCTAGACACATCTCTCTTTTACACTGCGAGGCAACCCAAACGGTTGCCAAATTTGCTTGTCGAGAAATCCATCACCACTTAAAGGAGGAAAAACGGTGACGAAGATTCCAAATTTGGTGAAGAAGGGGAAAAATAAACCAATTGGCTTTCCTTCTATCCCCATTAATGCTAGCTACTAGAGAGGCTCAGATTCAAAAATAACATTAGTGATATTATTATGGATGGTCGTCTGAATAGCCATGATCATAGCTTTAGCCTCCGCTTGAAGAGCAGAAGAAGATGTTTCAATCCCACAATTCCTAGCCATCACAGAACCATAAGTATCCTTAATAACAACTCCAAAACCCGCTGAACCTGATTACTTGGTCCAGGAGGCTTCACAGTTGATTTTCAGCACTGAAATAGAAGGAAAGATCCAAGTTGAAAGAACGGTCGTGCCCTGAGAGACCCAAGAAAGCGCTACAGGGTTGGCGGTCCAAAATTCCTCTATCAACGAATAGGCCTTGGGGATAGTAGTAGCCGAAGATGGGATGATTCCATTAAAGCTAACCTGACATGAAACGCCTCGGCCCCGATATCTCCAAATACTAGGATAGGCACGTGCTAGCCGACACCCGAGGGTGACGAAGCCATTTTAAACATGCATACAAATAAAATATGTAATTAGAACAAAATATGCCAATCGGAAATGCGTTCAAAGTATACAACTAATCAAGAATAATGTGAAAGAATTACTAAAAAAAGGTACGAACAAAGGAATGGGTTCTACACTGAGAATACTCGAAGATACCTATGCAGAAGTGCCCTGACGTCGGGATCGTATGCCTCGATTCTAAATCCTGAAGGGGGCGCAACAAAGGGTGAGTGGACCAAAGTTTATAATACTAATACTAATAATAAGAAAACCATTTTCTTTCTGAACATACTAACCCCCTGTTTTAAAAACATATATAATACTACATAATAGGTTTTTTGAAAACCCTAACGTGCCATGAAAACATTCGTAGATAATAAAACCATATCTAAAAGTGGTATCAAAATCGCCCAAAGGTAAATCTGAGAAAGCTCGTAAACCCAAAATAATAAAGTACTCAACTAGGGGTATCATAGTTGCCCGAAGGCATAGCCATCACCCGAAGGTGAAGTTGTACGACATTGAGTTACGCTAGTCAAGAAATATTGTAAGCCCCACCACCCGAAGGTGAAGCTGTACGACGTAGGGTTATGCCAAAGAAGAAACATATACATAACACACCGACATTGGTTTCGCTAGTGAAGCTGAAAGTATGTCATAAATATCTTCAACTGTGTCCTATGGCCATAGACGTCTACATACTCGTGTTGTGTGTATGTGTTGTATGATAACCCACTAGATAAGCACATAAAAAGTATCTCTAAAACTCATACCAAGCTTAGCATTTAAAATCTCGTCAACCGAAATCATAAACAAACCATAAATATTTCGTAAAAACAATTTAAATAATCATAAGTTCTCTGTAACCATAATTATAGAAATTCGTAAAACATATTATAAAACAATCAATTCATGAAATATGAAATGCATGCAAGCTTAATATTTTATATAAAAACATGCAATTTAAGAAAGGGTCTACTCACAAATGTTCCGGTACCGAGGAACCGCTCGAACTAGGGAGGACAGGGTCACTTCCAACCAACGCACCTAAACACAAGTAAAGACCATTTAATAAAACCTCTACTAAAACGATTGAATTTGGAAAAATGGACAATGGAATTGGTTTCGGCATATCGGAAAACTTAAGGAGGGGCATCGAGTTCCCCCATATGCCACCACCGAGAGGCCACGCGCCGAGATATGTTGTTGGGGAAGTCATTGGCGCCACAGCAACGAAGCACAGTGCCTCCGGTGGAGGCGTGTGTGCTCCACACGTCGAGCACTGCAGCATCACATGCCCGCGAGTACGCTGTACTCACCTTATCCACGAAATTTGCAAATTTGCAAGTGGAAGGCCTAACTTCTAGAGCTCATTTCAAGCTCGATTCTCAACCAATTTCAGTGATTTAAGAACCAAAATGAAGTTTAAAATGTAGGGAATCGATACATACCCATTGGAGGCCGTGACATGGCAGGAGTTGGTCGGAAAAAGGTGTCTGAAAGTGGTCAAACTGCCACGGTTTCAAATTCCATAAGTCTAGGAAATTTTACCAACTACTCTAATCTAACCTAAAACATGATCTAGAAGATTTTAGGAGCTTACCTACGTCGGGAAGGCGATGACTCGCTATGGTTTCGGAGAATATGATGAACATTAATTGTTGAGAGAGAGGTGAGAAAGGGAGGATGGAGGGTCCACAGATGGTGATGGTGCTCACTAGAGTGGTGAGGCTAGTGGTGATGGAGATGGTACTATCGTTGTTGGTTGTGCAAGCTCGGAGAGAGAGTTGCAAAGATGAGGGGAAAAAGACAAGGAGAGTGAAAGAGTTTACCGATGAGAGAAATGGGAGAAAAGACAGGGAAGAAAGAGAGAAAGCCAGGAGACACCAAAACAAGGGTGGGCCCCATTGGCACACCAAACAAAGCAAGAAAAGATAAAACGGAAAAAATATCTCACGGGATGTGAAATTACCATAATGTCCTTATTGTTCCGAATCCTGTAAAACCTTCATTTTAGCTCCAAATCCAAATTCACTTGCTCCCACGCGTTCTTAACGACGAGTACTACAAGAAAAGCTAATAGAATAGGTCATACGTTGCACGGTACAAAGGTCAACAAAAGTCAAAGATTTCAACTTAAAGAGCATTTTTGTAAATTCACGTTTTAAAATTATAAAAACCGTAAAATCTGGGATGGATCGTTACATGTCGTCTAGCCTTCCAAATTTCCCAACAAAAGAAGGCAACGAAAGAATGAAATCGATCTTGGGAGACATTGTCTTCAGGGAGAAGAGAGGATAATTTCAAGAACCAGCGATCAAAAGAGGAAATAGCTTGGGCATTGACCTTAAAACCAAGGGGGGACCCGAACCAGACCACCTTGGTCCAAGGGTTTATATAGGGAGACTTTGGATGCGGTCCCTAGTTATGAACAGTCTTTGACTGAAACCTTGTTGGTTTTCAATTTTTGATCCAAGTCCCTGAAATTAATTGATAATTTATTTCTATGTACGTTACTATATTTTTTAAATTAAAAATTAAAATTTATAGTTGTTTATAGTAATGAGATTTTAAATAAAAACCATAATTTGTGGGATTAAAAATATTAAAATATAAATATACTATTGTGTGTGTGTGTATAAACATGGGTACCTTCATAAAAAATAACCAAAAAATTATTGTATCAAAACATGGGTACATTCTTCAAAATGGGTACATTTAGCAAAAATAAAAATGGGTACAAATAAATAAAAAAATATGGGTACAATACAAATAAAACTTTAAAAAATATGGGCACAAAAAGAAATTAATATATGGGTACAAATTAAAACTGAAAGGAAAATTGGTACAAATTAAAAAAGGGTTGCAAATTAAAAATGGGTACAAACTAAAAATAAAAATATATGATAAAAAATTTAGCCATAAATATAAATATAATAATTGTAACATTTTTAATATTAAATGAATATATTTAGAAATAAAAAATATTTTATTATTGAAATAATTAATGATATTATTAATACAAAGGACCTTGATCAAAAATTGAAAAGTAATAAGGTTTTAATCAATAGAGTAGTAAAAATAAGGATGAAAACCTAATTACTCCGTTTATATATGCATGGCTTTTATCTTTTAGCTTGTCAGTGTCAGTTGCATTATTGAGACCTAAAGATGATGATGTGTCTTATTGTCATGTACATTGACGAGAACAAACAATTTAATCACGATATTACATTGGAAGAGATAAGAAAAAAGGCCCAATATAGAGTCTAATCAATGACTGATTGCAACCAATCTCCCCCGTCAATGAAAGACACATTAAGAAAAAGAGAAGCTTGTGTGTCATTCAGCTTCTGTACGTAAGGCGCACGCAAGCTCATATTTGCTCCCGCACCTGAGTTATTGTATTCTCCATAGAATATAGTCCTGCATGCATTTAAACAAATGATTAATACTTCGATTAGATTAATTTTGTGATTAATCCAATAATCAAACTTTAAATGAATATTGATTAATTGAGGGGGGTCCTTTGAAAACCACTAGGTCTTTAACTTTTAATTTTTTTTTTAAATATAAAAACTTGAAAACAGTTACCAACAAGTAGTTTTTGTCTAAATGGCTATCAAAAGAGCCGTAACTCTTGCATTAATCTTTACATACTGGTCTCTTGTTGGATCATTGAAGTCATTCCACCCTTCAGGAGCTATAATATCAGTCATTGTTGTGCTGGCAAAAACCACTCGAGAGAAAGGCCTCCATGCTCGACCCAGCCATACTCTTCCAGTCCCTCCAATAAAGCAGTTGACAAATGCATAGCCAGTGTTTTCATCCTTGGAAGCTCTGCCGTGCGCTGTAACCGCGCCGTTTATACTCTTTGTTCCTAGGGGTACTGGGTGTTGGAATTTATTAGGTTTATTTAGGAAATTAATTAGAGATTTGATTTGATTTTGTAGTAGGGTACTTTTGGCATATATGCATTAGGGTTTCTTTGGTTTATTGCTCTATAAATAGAGCTTGTAATTTAGTTAGAGAATAATTCATTCACAATGTAGTCTCTAGGGTTTTGGTAGCCGTCTCGGCATTCTCAATTTGTTCAATAAAATTCTTATTATTTTGTAGTCTTGTTTGTTCCGCACTCTGATATTCAACTTGGTATCAGAGCGGGTTCGATCCTTATGGTTCAATCCGTTCTTGTTGGTATCAATTTGTTTTGTCGCTTTTTGTTTTTTGGTTTAGTTTGGGTCTCGTTTAGGCTTTCGCTTCCGCTTTGGTCTATGTCCTTTGTTCTTGGTCACTCTGTTTTTGTTCGTTTTGTCTTTGGATTTCTGTTTATGTTCTTTGTCTTTGGATTTCGGTATTGACCGTCAAATTGTGTTAGTCTTGTCCGTAGATTTTTTACGTTTTCTGGTTTGGTTTTCAGTTTGTCCTTGGTAGTCTTCAAGAAAGGGAAAAAAATTCTGTTTTTTGAAAAAAGGAATTTGGTGAATCCATCGCACTAGGATTTCTGCATTCCCTAGCCCCACCCTGCATCTGGATCCGTCCACAACCGTACCCTCGCGAAAAAAAAAAGGAGGCTGGTGATGTTGGTTCGCATAGAAGAAAAAAAAGGAAGGAGGTTGGTGATGTTGGGTCGCACATTGGTTTGCACAGAAGGTAAAAAAAAAAAAGGAAGGAATCGCACAGAAGGAAAAAAAGGAAGAAAGAAGGAAGAAAAAAAATATTTGGTTGGATTTTTTGATTGTTTGTTAGGCATCGGCATCGACATTTGCACTGGTACTGGCATTGGAATCTTGCACTGACATGGAAATCTTGCACTGGCATTGGAATCTTGCACTTGCACCGATGGAATTTCGTATTGAAATTGGCATCGGAAATCGGCATCGGCATCGGCATCGGAATTTGGAGGCTTGCATCCACATCTGCTTGTTGGCAAACTCATGTCGTGTACCGCCATGAGTTTGACGGGGGGTGTTGGAATTTATTAGGTTTATTTAGGAAATTAATTAGAGATTTGATTTGATTTTGTAGTAGGGTACTTTTGGCATATATGCATTAGGGTTTCTTTGGTTTATTGCTCTATAAATAGAGCTTGTAATTTAGTTAGAGAATAATTCATTCACAATGTAGTCTCTAGGGTTTTTGTAGCCGTCTCGGCATTCTCAATTTGTTCAATAAAATTCTTATTATTTTGTAGTCTTGTTTGTTCCGCACTCTGATATTCAACTCTGGGTTTGACATCGAAATCAACTGACAATTCTGTGTCAAGCAGTCCAAGAAGCACACTGGTTTTTTTGTTTTTTTATATATCAATTGATCATAAACATTCTACTTATATTCTGTATGAAAAATGATTACTTGGTAATGGGTACTAATCTAGACTACATGGCTCCTTGCCTGCATGCATGAAGGAGCTATTCCTCTGTAAATGAAAAATCACAGTTTGGTCGTGCAAAAAACTTTTTGTTTTGTAATTTTAGTGAATTATTTTAGTATATGTATGTCAAATTGTGATTTGCAGGTAAACAGTAACCCCATACCGTTTTTTCTCAAGCAATCACAGGAAAAGAAATTTGCATATCAGAAATGAGACGGGTTACCTCATATAATGATCTTCCATTGCCAAAGATGAAATCAATGGAGCCCTGGATGTAGCAATCCTTGAAGTAATGGCGGCCCCTATCATCGTGAAGGGTGTCTTGAGCTCCAAAGAACCCACAACCCAAAATTGCAGCTTGGTCTCCTGATATTCTAATCGCTAAACTTGAGCTCCAACATCTCCAGGCTTCGGAATTGGGGCAACATTCTTGTTTCATAATTTCCATTTGGGGGATGAAGAGTTTGGAATATCAATGAGATTTTGAGATGCCAATAAAATTGCAACAGTGGCAACAAAATATGTTAGTATAGTGGTTTTGGGACTCATTTTTTCTGATGGAATATGGAGAGGATTTGAATTTAATGGATGGATATATAACTAGACATGTATGCACTTGAAGTGAAAGTATTGATGGAATGTCTTGCAAATCACCCTGTCCCAGTTATCTTAGGGGAATACATTTCCAACCTTAAGCTACCAAACTTTTATTCTCCAACAAAAACAATTAGTCTATATACAATTCAGAATGTGGGGAGGCATATATAATTATTTCAATCATTCAAAATGGACATTACAAATAGATATTATAAAGAGTTCAGTTTTAAAAAGGTACTAGATTTAAAATATTACAATAAAATATTACTGATCACAAAGCAATTGGTAGACTTCAGGCACAAGTTGAAAGCTGAGCTCATTAGGAATTGTAAGCGTACACAGATCAATAAAATCATTAAACCTCGTGTTACACGGAGATCATGTGATAAAAAAAATTTCAAATTATATTGGGACATGTAGTACAATGCTCATAGGTCTAATCACATCTCCACATCAAATGCCAGATCCCATAACACTAAGCAAAGTAAATCTAACAAATCAAACAGCTCCACTCTTCACACATAGATCCAAAATAGATGTATAGCACACAAAAACAAAAATTAAAAAGAAGTAGTTGTCCTATAGATAAAAATCCTAATTTCCAAATTCCCCTAAAGAGAGAAATCAAACAAATTCCAAGACAATTCCTAGAAATTATTAAACATAAACAAAATAAAAAGGATAAAATCATGTTGCCACTACCGTCGGACATCCCAAAGAGAGTCGTAACACCATACCAGCTAACTCATAGTGTTGTATTGGCTAAACTCAATCCCATTCCGACATCTGCGATGACTTCTAGCTTCGACCGCATATCAAATGTGTACTAGATGCAAAACCTTGTGTTTACTGTATAGTGTGTACATTGGCTAAAACACGACCACTATCACTCATGACACAATCATACATCAAAACAAAGTAAACGAAATACATTTCTCTTAATAATAAAATAAATAGATTGCACCATATCTTTGTCTCTCATGTATGTCCATCTTCACAATATCATTCTCTTCTCCATATTATTATTATTATTTTTAATCTTCATCCCCATATTTAAAGTTTTTTTTTTCAATTCAACTTAATTAAAAACAAGTTTGTGTGTATAAACTGCATTTATTAAAGAAGTCATGCGAGTGGTAAATCACCTTAGTGATTAGGATTTTCTGCTTCATCTCACTACCTTCCAAGTGAACTTTCTAATTTTTTTTTAGTGTAAATTATTGCTTTTAATATAAAAATGAAAAAAAATCATTAATACTTAATTTTGTTGTAATTAGGAAAATTAATAAATTAGGAATGTATTATTATGTGGCCTGTGGGTTGGTTTCTATTTTTTTAAATCAAGTACGATATTCATTTCATAAGGGAACAACGTACAAACAATGAGAAAGGGTGCTAACAATGGGTCTCAATAAAAACTTTTCCGGGTAAAACCCAAATGAAGGGAAAAGGAGTGTCCCGCACCAACTAAATTAAAAGTGAAAATTATCCTCCAATATAAGATCAAAAATTACATTGGGAGGTTCTTCAAACCACGAAACTGGCTGTGGCAGAGTAAGACCGCGGCGAGCCAGTCTGTTTGTCATTTCATTGGCACCACGTCGCACAAAATTAGCCTTCCATTGTTGGACATGTTGTAGTAGCCTCCGTGTGTTAGTTAATATATGGCCAAGGGGACCATAATTAACCTCGTAATTTTGTATAGCAGCTATTACCATCAAGGCGTCTCCCTCCAACATTACTTTCTGATTACGCCATCTCTAAAGAAATATAGCAGCTTCCCGAGCTGCTGCAACTTCAGCCATTAGAGCCGATGTAATCCCCTCCAGTTGCATCGCCATGGCAGCAATAAACTCCCCAGCCGCGTCTCGGATAATCAGTCCAGCTCCTCCTATGCTGTTCGGCTTATCCCATGCCCCCATCAAAATTGCACTTTATCCACCCTTCCCCTGGCCTCCTCCATTTATGAACCTCTACAACCTGAGATTTCGGCTAGACCACATTCCATTTCTTAAACTCCAACAACCAAGTATATGCTTGAATTTGGAGTTCATGTCGTGGTAAAATTGAGCCCCTCCATAATAACTCATTGCGAGCTTTCCTAATATTCCACATCAACATAAGGACTAAATCAGAGCTCTCCCTAGACATCATAAGCCATTCGTGCCACCCAATCTTGCAACCCCACATCTCCTTGTTGCATATGATGTAAACCCAACAGACTAGCAAACCATGTTGCTCTAGCATGGGGGCACTGCAGCATAATATGCTTGATCGTTTCAGGGACAGTCCCACAAATAATACAACAGCCATCCAGTACAACCTTCTTCAACTTCAAGTTTACTGTAGTCGGCAGAGCATTTAAGCAACCCCTCCATATGCAAATTTTTATCTTCCCCGATACCTTAGCACACCAAAGTGCCTTCCATAGGAATTTGATCTCTGCCGGCATCTTAAAACCCACGGGAACATCCATGCAGATGTCATTACAAGTCCGAGCTACAAAATATGCACTCTTAGTCATGAATACTCCTTTAGGCTCTTTGATCCAAATCAACTCATCAGGCAAATTAAAGAAACTCAAAGGAATACTTAAAATAAGATTGACCTCTTCAGGGAAGAACATTCGAGAAACCACCTGCATATTCCATCTCATGTGATCCGCCTCCAACATCAAAGATCGAACAGTAAGATTAAGGTGAACTCCAAGGGAAACCGGACTCAACACCTTGGCATAGTTCTCTCTTAGCAACCAAGAATCCCCCCAGATTTTTATCTTCAAACCGTCAGCTACACATCGTCTAGCTCTTCGGTAGATCAGAACCCTAGCTGCTACAATGTTCTTCCAATAATAGGAGGAATTGGACTTTACTAGGGCATGTAGAAAATCCAATTCTTGGAAATATCGAGCCTTAAAAACTTGGGTTAGCAAAGACTGTGGTTGTTTTATAATGCGCCAACCTTGCTTAGTAAGCAAAGCAAGATTAAAGGCGTACAAATCTTTGAAACCTAAACCTCCCTCACTTTTTGGCTTGCACATTCGCTGCCAACTCACCCAATGAATGCTTCTTTTGCCGACTTCTTTTCCCCACCAAAATCGAGCAACCATTTGATTCAATTCCTCACATAACATTTTTGGAAGCAAAAAAGTATGCATGGTGTATAACGGAATAGCATGGGCCACTGTTTGAATTAAGATATCTTTCCTCGCACTACTGAGGACACTCCCACGCCAACCATTAAGTTTTTTCCATAACCTATCTTCGATATATGCAAACGTTTGTTTCTTTGACTTACCCGTGTACACTGGCAGGCCATCTCATGGTATTGCACACGAGTCATACCCAAACAATCCGCAAGCAGCTAACCATCCACCTCATTTACATTGGTACTAAATGCCACCCCACTTTTCGATAAATTAACTGTTTGCCCCCAGGCTACTTCATAAATTCGTAATAAGGTCTTCAACTCGCAGTATTCATGTAAATTACTCCTAGCAAAGATAAAACAATCATCCGCAAAGAGTAGATGATTTATATTAGGTGCATCATTACAAACCTTTATCCTTTTTATTCTGCCTTGGGCCTCCCATGCATCCAATAATGCCTATAAACCTTCGGCACAAATCATAAATAAAAAGGAGACAACAGATCACCTTACCTGATGCCCCTCTTAGGCTGCATTAATCCCATCGGTTAATTCCTCATTGAGCTTGAATGAGTAAGTTACAAAAGTGACACATCTCATAATCCAAGTAATCCATTCTTCCACAAAACCCAATCTTCGCATTATTTGTTCTAAGAAAGACCATTCAATACGGTCGTATGCTTTACTGATATCAAGCTTCAATGCCATCACACCATTCCAACCACTATTTTTCCTCTTCATAAAATGAACAACTTCCAATGCCACCAAACAATTATCAGAAATTAATCTACCACAAATAAACGCACTTTGTGAAGGCGAAATAATATCTGGTAAGATACTCTTCAATCTATTCGTAAGCACCTTTGAGCATATCTTGTATATCACATTACACAAACTGATTGGCCACAATTCGGTCATAGATGTTGGATCAAGTTTCTTGGGTATCAGAGTAACATGTGTGTAGTTAACTTTCCGCAACAATGCCCCTAACTCAAGGTGTCAACCCCCATCACAAACATCTTTACCGACAACTGCCCAATGATTTTGATAAAACCTAGGCGTCATTCCATCAGGTCTCGGTGCCTTGGTAAGATGCATTTGGAACAACGCATCCTTAATTTCTTCGTCAAAAAATGGTAACATAAGACTTTGATTCATCTCATCTGTGACCTTCGGTACAATCTTACTTAGTATCCCCAAGGCATCTACTACCTCGGTGGAGCCAAACAATTTCATGAAGTAAGATAAAATAACTAATTCCATACCTGCCTTGCTATCCTGCCATTGTCCCGACTCATCAAACAAACCATGAAGCCCATTTCGTCTCTGCCGTCGAGTTGCTTTTAAAAGTGATAGCAACAATTATCTTATAACAAAAAGTCAGAAAACATACATTATTCGGCTCAAGAGCTGGACAGAAAAAAAAAAAAAAAAAAAAAAAAAAAAAGGGAAAACGACACTCATCGATATTTCTATTCTAATTTTTACGTACTTTCTATTGGATATATATCAATTGTTTTTCTTCCAAACTGTAACTTCCTCTTTCATGGTTTGGTTGTAAGCAAGGCAAACACATACCTTATAAACTGCAAACCTTCCATTTTAAGTAACATATAATTACAAATGGTTTTTATGCTTAGTATAAACACATATACAAAAGCGCTCAAACGCTAACCAGTTAGCAACTTAATACAATGCTAACCACACATTTAAATCAACTCTACATATTGTCTCATGATCAACCGTCACTTCGTAGATCTCTTCATTCAACGATCATCCACATTGTTAGGGATTTACAATAGTTAAAGACTAGCAACTGGCAGATGTTTTTACCAAGAGATTGTCTGTAGACCGTCTTGTGCGTCTTATTCCAAACTTTTCTCCTCGTCGATGTCATGTTTGCAGGGGATGTTAAGGGGTTACAAATAGTTAAAGACATTAATTCTAGAATAATGATCAATTGTCAATTATGTCGTAACTCCATATTTATATTTATGTTTATGACCCTTAAGATGTAACCGTAGATTATTAGCTACCCACTTATATATATATATATAGGATCAAGGGACAAATATTTTTACAAATACTTTTACACTCTTTTTAAGCCGTTTGATTACATGGCATTCAAGGGTTCTTATTTATTCATTAAATGACATGGATGTTTATGTGGATTTTAATTAATATTAAATATAAAATAAAACATAAAATCTGGATAATTAAAAAAGGAAGATAATTAACTGAAATTGGTTCTTCCATTCCCATTTCGATCAAGACTTGGATTCAAACTTTGAACCCTAATAAAAATATCATGAAACTTCTTTAAATTCATATGCTTGTGCAATTAAACACATGCCTGATTTCACCCATGTATTGAAAGGTTCTCACAAACAGACCTGATATTATCAAAGAAGATTATATGAACGAACTGTGCATTCTTCAAGATGATGTTCCTCCCTTCCCCAATCAAGTAAAATCTCAATTTGCCAAAAAGTTATTGGTTCTAGTTGCTTGCATTTGTGATGAGACACTTCTACTTTGTGGGGTTTGCTTAACTTATTATAGCATATGGCATGCATTGCTTCAGGTTGCCCTTGACATAATAGAAGAAGAAATGGGGCGATCCCTCGAAGCTGTTTTCAGTAAAGTTTCATGATTTTTTTTTTATTATGGTTCAAATTCTGAATCCAAGTTTGATCGAAATGAGAATGGGAGAACCAATTTCAGTTAAATTATCTTCCTTTTTTAATTATATTTTTAATTTTTCAGATTTTATTTTTTTCAGTTTTTTTTTATCTTTAATATTGGTTAAAATCCTCATAAGCATCATTGTCATTTAATGAATAAATAAGAACCATTGGATGTCATGTCATCAAAGGCATAAAAAGAATGTAAAAGTATTTGTCCTTTGATTCTATCTCATATATATTTTCTACACATAATTAAAGAGTACCAAAACCAAAATAGTGTGTGTGTATACATACATACATACATACATACATACATACATATATATATATATATATATATATGAGTCTTAAAAAAAGATAGAAAATACACTTATTGAAGATGTGATCTCAATATAATATAACCAAGTTTTAATGTTTGTGACAATGTAGGGGTGGAGTGGATATCGATGTTATACAAATCCACGTGTTTGAGATGGCTCAGGAACAAGTATAACATGTTTGAAGATTAGGTTGTGCTACTGCTAATGATGCTCCCCGGACGAATGAAACTAAAACAAACCAAATCAAAGATTAATGTAATCTTTGGTGAATCAAAAGGCACCCATTTAAATTCAAATTAGCAAAGATTAGGGGTATATATTTGACTTCGTTAAAGTGTACAATTTCTTGCCTTTTACGCCACTTGGGTCCCATGATGACCTAGCATTCATCCCCTCTTCCCTCTCCATTTCTCACTCAAAAACAGCAATCGCTCTCAACTCAAGATCCGCCGGACGCGCCGCTCCACTGCCCGCTTTTCGAAAGAAGAAAAGATTTTGAAGACCGCAGTACTGCTCTTTTCTTTCGTTTAAGCACATGCATACTTCTCTGAACAATAGTGGGCTACTTAAATATGAGTAAAAATTCCTGCTCAAAATTTTTCGTGTTCGAATTACAAAGTTTTGTGTCTATAATCAGAACTGTTTATATTATAAATCACTCAACAAATATCATATCTCTTTAAAAAAACAAATTCAAACTAAGGTCATTTAGTCAATCTATTGTAGCAAATAAGTAAACGGTTCATAATGCTTCACGTATTTCATTCTTTTGGTTTTATACAATTTGATAACTAAAAGACCTTATTTTTAATTGATTTTTTGCATAGACGATTTTATTGAGTCATCCATAATATGAATGGTTCCAATTATAAACATAAAGTTTTATGAATCGTTAACAAACTGTTTTGAGTAGGATTTCCTACTCATTCTTTGAGTAAACCAAATACTATTCTACTTTTGTTACGAGATATAATTATAATCTAAACTACGTACGTTAAAGTGGTGAGGAGAGTTTGATCCTAAATGCAACGAAATTAATATTAAAGCCTAGCTACTGAGATAATCAATCGACCACGTGTTTCTTAAATACATTCTTCATTTCGTATTCACCATATTAATTTTTATTTCTCGAGCACCCATTTAGTTATATTTTAACTTTCATAAACACATTCTTTGTTTCTCGATCAACATACGCAAATTCTTTTTCCTAGTACTAATTAATATGGACCTTTAATTTTTGGAAACGTGAAAACAAGAAAGTTAAGAATATTTATTTTGGTCATACTTTGGGGCTATATATGTGGATATATTAAATATGCATGGAAGGCATGGGATTTTTGGGGCAGCTGCCCCATCGCCGCCTTTGTTTTTAAGCCAATGTGTAAACAAATTAAAAATGCTAGCGGTTTAGATGAGTTAATTACTGGTGAGCTAGCAAGCGTGTTAGGCGAGCATTCAGTGTTAGGTTAAGTTGCAAAACCTGATGATCTACCTTAATTGAATTTATTTGGCAACGTACTATATAAAAATTACAAATTAAATTAATAGCCAAACAAACATGTTAAATTTTAGAGGTATTTTGTTAATTTTCTTTCGAAACTTGTAAAGAACTGCCACTTTTTTGCATGATTTTTAATTTTAGCCAATTACCCTTTTAAATTTTTATAATTGATTGATTCCCCCATGAACTTTAATTTTAGCCAATGATTCTCTGAACTTTTATGATTGGCCAACTTCCCTTGAACTTTAGTTTCTCCCTAAACTCTAAAATTTAAACAAAAATTGTACGGAATGGACTAGCAAAACAGAAGAAGAAGGAAAAACAATATGGTATCTAGATTAGGGATAAAATTATCTTCTTGTAATTATAAAATTAAAGTTCAAGGGCGAAATTTACCAATTATAAAAGTTTAGGAAGTAAATGGCTAAATTAAAGTTCAAGAGAGAAATTGGCCAATTATAAAAGTTGAGGGGTGTAATAATTGGCTAAAATTAAATATCATAAGAGAAATTAGCAGCTTCTTACAAGTTCGGGGAGAGATCGGTCAATACCTCTAAATTGAGTAGCTAAACGAATCCTCTCTCTTAATTATATTTAACTCCTGATATGCTATTTACAGGACCATTTTTATGAAGAATACAAGATTTTTTTTTTAAGGAGAGGAAAAAAAGAATTTTGTTCACTCCCATACAATCCCACGACTTTGTAATAACAAGATTAAACAACTGCAAGCCACAACCCAAAAAGAAAGAAGAGAAAAATCATACTTAATGAAAAACAGGAATATACCAACAATTTAAGTAAAATAATATAACCATTTTTACTTTCAGAGCATGATGACTGATATATACATAGTATACATATATATGTAGTGTTAACATCATGTAGTATTCTTTTTCATGTGCATATACATAGTATACATAGCATCCTCGGTCAAATTACAAAATGAAAAAGGATATTAAGAATTGAACAATTAACCACATTGCATAAGAAAGGAAGAGATTTAGTTTCAAGTCCGTTGAAAAAGAGAAAATATATAATATTCTTTTTCATGTGCATATACATTGGTCAAGAATTTTGTCCTAAGATAAGTCAGTCTACCTAACTTTTCTGCTTTATGTCCCTCACAATTTTCTCAAAACATGTAACTCCTGTTCTCATTGGCAGAACTATTAGAGCTGGGCGGCCTAGCCGAAGAAGGCAATTGGGATGCAATACCCTCCCTCAGAAACTCATGTTGATCATGATCGGACGACAGTCCCATCACCATGCTTGTGGGTCCCACTCTTGATGACAATCTCTCAAGAAACCCATGATCACCGTTAACGTTGTCATTGTTCCTCAGCGAAAACAAGTATTGCTGGTTATGGCGTTGTTGGTATTGTTGCTGTTGTTGTTGTTGTTGTTGTTGTTGTTGTTGTAAGAGTTGTTGCTGCTGAGGCTGTAGAGGATGGCACCCGGCCGCCCCGGGAGGCACCACGAAGCTCTGTGGCCTAGTGGGGCCGAGACCAAAGGTAAAATTCGAAGCACCAGTGGGAAACGACACCGTACTAGGACCCCCAGTGAATTGCTGCACCATGGCACGAAAATTGGTGGTGTCAGTGTTGAGCAGCGTGGTGGGAGTTCTTCTTGAGGCTCTAGACCTTTTCCGGGCCGGCTTCGAAACGCGGCCTTGATCCGGACTCAAACTGTTGTTGGTGCTGGAGCTCGGGTGGCCTGAACCGGCATGACCTGGTAAAGATGAAGTTGTAGTGGTGGTGGTGACGACGGTGGCATCAGAGACTTGGTCATGGCACAGTGAAGAAGGGGTAGAAGAATTCAGGTTTTGGTTGTAGAATTGGAGCCAGTGATCATTAGGGTTGCTGGACATGGTTCCAGTACTACTCATTGTCGAGAGAGAGAGAAAGAGAGAGAGAGAGAGCACAAATTTGAGTCTGGGGTTAGAGGGAAGAAATATGATGGAAGGTACGCTATATTTATGAAGGTGGGAATGGGGGGTCTAGGAGGATTTTATGGGATGATCTTGACCGTTGATTTTGGGAGAGATAGGTGATGTCACGTGATATGGCACGTGGGGGTGGTGGCTGTGGGCAGGAAAAATCAAAATATTGGCAAATGAAAAATAGCTTTAGCTTTTTCAGGGTTTCTGGAAGGTATTGTACAAAAGCATATATGGTTTCCTGGAAGCAACATATTGGCAGACGCCAGCTTGATAATGATTGCGTCATCACGGTGGTGTCCACGTCAGAAAGAGAATGGCGGTGATGGTGGTGGTGGAGGAGAAATTTTTTATTATGACCGGAATACGAGTGATAAACTACGTGTTTTTATATAAATGATAAGAAATTTTATTTTTCAAGTTATAACTTTTTAACACACATATCATACAATTTAAATAGTAACACGTAATGTATCTCTTCATATACGAGTTACACTAAAAAATCTCTGGAGGCTGTTGGTGACTTCACTCGTGACACACGGAAGACGTCTTTGGGGCCGCAATGAAACAACCAAGCACCTTCCAACTTCCAAGTCCTCGTCTTTATTTGATTCTTTGCCCCAACTCGCCCGTTTTCATATAAAATTATAAATAGTTACTTTTACAAATTTAATAATTATATCCTTAAAGCGTTCATACACGAAGTTTTTCAATGCTTTTTTTTTATAATAAACGATATTATTTATATTAAATAGATAAGAGAGTAAGCTAAATTTCTAATTAGGGACTAGCAATAATATTGTGATTCAAATTTATTTTTGATAAAAATTAAACATACTTACAAATGAAGTTAAATACTATTAAATTAAATTACTAAATGATAGATTTTCTAATGCTTTATAGTTTCTAGTTGACAATTCCTAATAAGCACTTTTTTGATTTATTGTGCTAAAAAATCAGATATATTTTCCTGGATAAAAAAAGCACTAGAAACAATTTTTGTCCTATTATTTGACTCCTTTTTTTTTTTTTTTTTGCCTAAAAGTCAAGCTGTTGAGCAGAAACCAACGAAACTATTTGGTCATTGTATAATTTACTATTTATTGAGATTAAAAGATTATTACTACTTTTCTTTTTTCTTACCTACACCCCAAATCCTTTTTATTAATGTTGTTGAGATAAATCCACATCATAAACCTAATTAATGAAAGTGGTGGAGTAAAAATTCAGATCATGTTTATTTAGAAGAAATAAAATTTTAAAGAATGGGTATTATTGTTTTCATTTTTGTTACTAACAATCAAAGATTTGAAAGGAATTAGTGTGATTCCCATTTATTTTTAATTATTAATAATCATGAGTGAAAAACATGATGCATTTGGGTATCTCATACCTTTTTATACCTTAAAAGCTAAGGTATGAGATTACCAAATTACCATAACAAGTGACCTAGTAGAAAAATGCGAACAACAACTCTCTAAATAAAGAAAGAAAAGGGATGTACAACGTTTGATACTTTGTAAGCTGTGAATTTGCTTGATCGTGGTTATGTGTAAGCTGCAATTCCCAACTAACCTTATTTGAACCTGAAAGAGTGGATTACTGTAGTCCGCCACTAGTTGTTTTCCCCTTAAAAAAAGGTAAAAAGGTTTGAGATTACCATGGTAGGTTGTTATTATTCCTTACCCAAACAATTCATATCCCATTATTCTTGCTCATGGTTAATAAACATTCCTTCAATAACAAAGCATAAATAATGTTTGATTCGTTACCCTTGTTGTCAAGAATTTTTTTTATTACGAGCTATATTGCCACACAAATATTTTCAACAAAAAAAATAATAATAATTGTAATAAGCTCTTTAATGGAAAAGGTAATTCAGTTTATCTACCAAAGATAGAAAATAATTCAGAAGTAGCAGTAACTCCAACCATTACGAAAAACAGTATTAATTTCCTCTTTCTCTTGTCATTTGATAATTCTTTTTACTTTTTTTGTGCTGGTTGGAGCCATCTGATTCAGCCATGGCTAGCCCTAGATTTTCCATTTTAAAAGGCGATATAAAATTCTGAATTTTCCGGTAGATTAAGACCAAACTATAAAGTGCTATATCTGCATTGCCTTTGTGTCTCATGTCCTGAAACAAGCATTTTTAAACTCAGAATATGAACCAGAAAGATATAAACAAATAAGTCAATTAAAATCATTGTTGATTGGTTTTCCAATTCCCTCTTATGTGGATGGCTGTAGACTTTTCTACTTTGAATGTTCTTTAGTTTATGTCAGGTTTTCTTCTTCTCAGTATTCCAACGACCATGCTATTCAAATCCAGCAATCATGTGTTGGATGAAATTGAGAGACTTTTCTCTATTTTTAGTATAATGGTGGAAATCGTCGAGGCCCTTGTTCTAGAATTCTTTAGAGAATCAACAAAATTGAGGAAGATTTGAAAATTTTCTATCATTTTTACCGACAAACGGTGAATCAGTTGGTATCAAAGCATCAGTTCGATCCTCGAGAATTTCATGAATCATGTTTTGGCTCCTATTAATGTAACATAAGAATTGTATCAAATGAGAGGTTTAAGAAGACTGACCACTTCCACGCACGATTACTATGACACGTCGAAAGTATATATAAAGTGGTAAATAATCTCTTTTATTTCTTCATATTCCTTTTAAACAAAAGTCCAAATCTTTCTTTATCAATCTGCCTCAGTGCCTCACAAGCAGATAAAAATGTAGTCTCGACCCTCAACCACCAGAATGAGAGATAGAGAGGAAAGTCAAAGAAGAACACGTTAGGCGGGAGATATATGATTAATTAAGATTTAAGAATATAAATCCATTATATATAGTGATACGAAATTTCAAACAGATGACGTCCTATTTCCCCACGTTCCTTTGACTATTACTCACTTCTTCAAATGTCTATATATACATATGTGTGTGTATATATTTATATGGCTATTTGATGTTCCTAATTGCTCAATCTGCGGCAACATTATTCAGTGGCTTCTCCTATGTGTATGTGAACATAGGTTATGAGAGTCCTGCTCTCCTAAGGACTTATTGGAGGTTATGATCCTTGAGATAATTCAGTAATTTACTAAGTAATCTTTACCATGTTTTCACACTTGCTCGTGTGCGTGTGCGTGTGCATGTGTATATATATATATATATATATATATATGCCCTTCATCTAAAGGTATCCATATTTTTGGGTAAAAATGAGAATTAGTTGTAGTGTCCATCCCACATCGAATTTCAACGATTCGAACCATCTATTTTGTAACTCTCAATTCATAGATCATCCTTACAAAGATTCAATTTAATCTGAAACTATTTGCCTACTTGATTATCACGATGAACTTTCATTGTTTCTTATACAACAAAATGTTTGTCAATTTCTTTGAATTCAATTAGATGTCTCAAATATTTCCAATTTGGCTAATATTTTGCAAGGATAATCTGTAAGATCCAACTTGAAAAATAGACGGTTCGGATCGTCGAAGTTCAATGTGGTGTGGACCCCACAACTAATCCCCATTTAGTAAAAACAAACAATTTTTGTTGGGAATTGTGTACACAATTTTTTTTTTTTGCTTATTTATATTATTTATTATACCGGATTTCAGGAATTACTTAGTACCGCATTCTTTGGTCATAGTATATTGTGAAGGCGACAGTTTTACTTAACTCTTCTTTATTTATTTGTTTTTTTCAATCAAAATTGAAACAGTATGATATAGAATGAATCAATAGTTTTATATTTGACTATAATCAAAATCTAACAAAAGATAAATAAGCGGAGAATAGAAACCAAAGTATAAAATGAGAGGAACAAAGGATTTTAGGGAAGGTTGTTCGTCTCCTAATCCTTGACACAAGAAATGGAATTTTTACCCAACCCTTTCTTGTGTCGAATTAATAAAATTCACGATCCCGTTCGTAAAAAATTGAATATTTGTAGTTTTCATTTTTTTTTTGTCTAGGGGGAATTATGCTTACTTGTTTTTTAGTACAAGTAGCTATCGGGTTTGCTACGACTTTTTATTATCGTCCGACCGACCGTTACGAAAGCCTTTGCTTTCTGTTCAACATATAATGACTGAAGCTAATTTTGGTTGGTTAATCCGATCAGTTGATCAATGGTCAACAAGTATATTTAATTTATTTGGTCATTCACCAACCCGAGTCTGATATACCCTATATTTAATTTAGGGTCATTTTAGTTCTTGTCCATAATCAACCTAGTTGTTAGAATGAAACCTTATTTGTTTGAATAGTTTGATCAAGGTTCTTAGCATCATTTAAGGGATTTAACTCATGCATTTATGCATTCAATATCCCACAAATTATGAAATTTAAACAAATCCAAATAATATTGTTACAAATATAATAATTACTTAAAAATCAATAATGGAGTAATGTGTTCTTCTCATAGTTCTAGCTAAAAAAAAAAAAATTGTACCCACAAATTATGAAATTTAAACAAATCCAAATAATATTGTTACGAATATAACAATTACTTAAAAATCAATAATAAAGTAATTATTAATATAGTGCAAGTAATAACTATTGATATATTTTAAAGCATAAAATAACAACATATAATTAGCATGGGTTCGTTCATAAATATCGGTACAAATTAAATTAAAAATATGGGTACATATTAAAATTCAAGACTATGCGAAATTAGCATGGGTATGTTCATAAATATTGATAAAAATTAAATTAAAAATATGGGTACATATGAAGGTGATTAATAATTTTTCATTTTTAAATTGACATATAATGACTTGTAAATAACTTAATATTCAAATAATGACATTAAGAAAGTCAAGGACCTTGATAAAAAATGAATAAGGTTTCAATTAATGAGAAGGGGAAATGAGGGATGAAAACATAATTTATCCTTTAATTTATTTGATATTTAAGTAAGGTAAAAACAAATTCCATTATAAAGCCGTATGCAATGCAAAAGGATGCATGTATGGTTGTTCAACCCCTTACTGGTTAGGA